GTCTTAGTGAGAGCAGAAGATAATTTTAGTAAGTATGTATATAGAAGGCAAACACATACTAGCCTTATCCATAAATTCTTCGCTAAATATTGTTACGCAACGAAAATTGATATCTATCATTATTCGGAGCATAGGATTAGATGATAGCGAACATTCAGATAATGAGCTAGAGGCTTGAACCAATATTACCTTATTATAATTGCTCCCTAGGTTTAATTAAAAATAACATCAGTTCAATAGTGCTATTTTTAAATGGGGAATATGTGAAAAAAAATAAAAAAAGGAGATTTTTTATCATATCCTGAATCTGATTTAGTGCATTCACCGGAAAAAGGTATGCGAACTAGTAAGTAAGAAGGGAATGAAAATGGTTTTCAAGATAACTGTGTCACTTTCTTCAGTTGTGCCTACCTTCAGAAAGAAATTTGCCTATTATACAGATCCGGTTGCCATAGCATAATGAATTCATGTGATCGCTTTTATGTTGAGACCAGTAAATTCATTCGACAAAGAGTGGCTGAACACAAAAGCACCCATAAAGGCTATTAGATAAAAAAAATCAGATTGTGAAGCACACGGCTGAAACTGGACATGGGACTGAATGTTCAGCACTGTCATTCTGCTTATAATGCAGCGCAAAATTAGAGAGACTATCAAAATCAACATATTAAACAATAGAAAGAATGTAAGGAAATCAATAAGGTGTTTAGCAAGAACTACTTGTGCTTAATTGATAGTGTTGTGGAGACTTCCACTTCGTATAAGTGTATGAAGAAGAGATTTGAAGACTGATCTCACCGAAAGACGACGGCTGATTCCCGTTCCCGACGTTCAGGTTGACGAAATCCACAAAGTACTTTAAACTAGTTTAAACTTGAGGTTTTTACAAGAATGAGTTCCAGCTCAAACGATATCAATCACATAAATCACTAAAGCTCGCACCGTTTTCACCCGAAACGAGAGAGGAAGTCTCGTGGACTCTTAAACTAAATGTAGTGCAATGGGAATCAGCCGTCGGTATCTAATGAAATCAACATACGAATATCTTCTTTAAGCACTTTCATACAAAGTGAAAATCTCCATAACAATGTTATCAGAGAAGATTTTTCGAAACTCAGTTACTCTTCGTATTAATTGATAGAGGGGATGGAGTGGAGGCTAAGTGTATTTTAGAAGCGAACATACAATATTGCTGGAAATATCGTCTGCATATGCGAAAGAAACTTCAGATAGGAAGATGGGAGTAAAAAAGGGAATATTAAGAATAAAAATTAACAATAATAACATTTTTTGAAGAGTATATACTAAGCGAAAAATCCTCATAGCGAAATCCGAATGAGCCGAAATTAGTATTCATTTTGTGGCAGAGGAAAATAAATAGGCCATAATGTTTTTTTACAACTTTGTTTAAATGTGGAAAGGACTCACTTGACTTGGAAAAGATATTCAGCGCCGTCCTTCGTGGTCAGCCGGAAGACGTTTGCCTTCTTTGTGTAGTCATTAGCACGACTCGCTAGGGCATGCGCGATTCTGATAACGGCCTCAGGTGGAGGTGGCTGCGGTGGAGGTGGGGGTGTCTGGGCAATAGTAGAAGCAAGTGGTTGTGGAACGGGAGCAGGAGGCGATGGCAAAGGGGATATTGGTTTGGAGTCTGTTGAATCGGTCGAGACACCTGGAAGACCTAATACCGATGAGGGTAAATAGCAGGTCGCAGAACTGCTGGAATAGGGAACAGAGGCCGAGTTGTCCTCAAGGAACAATCTGTAAAATGGGGATGATTAAATATGAATATCTAGGCGAGCAATACCATAGAAAAACAAATAATGTGCAAATAAAAATGGGACGGGATTGCAAGAGAGAAATGTAAGGCCTGAAAATGAAGGAACGAGGATGCCCAAAGGTAAGAAGAAGAGTAAATTATAGATAAGTTAAATTAAAATTGTGGATGCACAACTTGAATAAAGACAAAAAACTGACAAGAAACCTCAAAGATAAATAAACTAGCAAGCATTCGGAGCTTCAAAGAGTATAAAATAAAGTTCTAGAAGCACTTAGAGGAAACTGTGGATTAGGCCCTTTGTGAACTGAAGCATATTCTTGTCCACTTAAGTTCAAGAGCTTACTCCAAATGCTCCACTCAGATATAAAGAAAAAAATGTGGTATCGCAAAGATACGGGGCAATAATCCGCCACCGCTCGATTTCTATAATCAAGGCTTGCTATTGAAAATAAAATTACGGGACAAGAACAAGAGTATAGAGGTGCATGCATGAAGTGAAGTGTGTATATACATTTTCGTCAAGCATCACTTTCAAACAAATATTAGAGCAAACGGAGCAATACAAAAATGCTAACTCTGGTATC